CGAAGTTTAGAGTTGCTTCTGTTGGCCACGAAGACCGCAGCTCAACCGGCCTGCAAAACAGTATGCGCTCCAGATGGCAGTCAGGCCATCCAATAATATTTCTATTTGACACGTTCCAGCATAACGCAGTGAAGCCATGCCGTGCTCAGCCGTGCGCAGGTGAGCCAGGCACAGTTCCTGAAGGTTGGCATGCCGATGAATGGGATTTAAGAATAATTAATGTTGCTTTTTGGTTTGTCCACGGGCGCATGCAAGGCAATGTGTCCGCGTGCATTGCGTTATATAGAGGGACTTGTGTACGTATGTACTCTTGCAAGTATGCAAGTATGTAGTTGAAAGCTCCAATGTACTCTTGCCGTTTATGAGCGGAGCGGTCGGGAGTCGAGATGTGACGGTTTCTCTAGGTTGGAGGCCATTGCTATAAGGAAACCTCCTACTCCATGTGGCCCATGAGTCTCCGCGGCCCAGAATGCCGAAGCTCCTTGCGTGCACTACAGCCGGTGCACAATGGGTGCTCAGGCTAGTGTTCTTACACTAATCAATCCTTTTGCCTGGATATGTTGCTGCTGGGAGTGGAGACCTCATATTATATGGATACCTGACAATTTCACCATTCAGAGTTTGGATTCATAAGATGCCTGCATTGGGTGCCTTGCAGCTGCAGGCGCTGTAGAGGCAGGCGTGCCGAGGGTGTCCGCAGCACCGAAGAAGGCGAGCAAGAGAGGCAACCGTGCAATCGCAGGCCGCGCCAGGGGAGCAGCGTTTGTTTGTTATGTAGCGAGCTTGCGTGTATTGCTATTTTGTGTGGACGACGATCACCAGAGTCGCGGGTACAGTATTCGATTTGAGGTATCCACATGCTGCAGGAATTGTCACCAAGCGTGCTTAGAGTCGTTTTGGATGACTGAATGGACATGAATGGACCGCCATGAGCATGGGGCACCTCCTTCTAAAAGTCATTGTGCGCCTTTCATGTTTGAGCTGTTGAGGGGAGCCTGTGGGAACCTTTCAGCCACTCCGAGTGCGCTCGAGGTTTGCAGGACCACTTACCGCCTGGCCGGTCTGGGTCTCGGAAGACAGGACTTAGTGATTTGGCCAACTCAGATTGTTAGCCGAACTTGGGGGAGTGTTGCACGTGCTGCGCAAGGAAGACTCCGTGCGTTGTAATTTATTTTGGTGCCATTTGATTTCCATTGATTCATATCGATTCCATTGCCATCCATTGCAGAAAGGGGATGTGCGCAGCAGCCTGCGCCAGTCGTGGCTCTTCCCATGCAGTCTCCTGTTCTGGATGCAGGGGGAGAGGTCTAGCTTTACAGTCCCACGGATAGACGCCCGTCCCGCAAGCAAAGCTTGGAAGTGTCATCAGCATCTGTCTCCAATGCCAACTCACATGATGAACTGCATCAACATCATGACATTGACAGCTTTTCCAATTATTTGCGGGCAGTCTGCAGGCCCATCTTGGGCTCATAGATAAGGCTCATTTGGCCACGGATTCTTTCCCGCTGCAACTGTGACTGCCGCCTCCTACAGCACTGACCGCTGCACGCTCCATTGCGGACAAGTATAACGCACTTGCTTTTGACCCATCTATACTCGTATGAGTTTTCTGGCATGATGCTCCCTCATGATATCCTACTTTCATAATCTTTCATAGGCAGCTGTGACGGGTACTTCACACCTTGCGCTCGCGAGAAAAATTGTAAGAGTGTTGCATATGTATCATGTATACTCATTCCAAAATCATGCATGCTAAGCATTCTATTTCATTTGCTGCACAACATCGTGTAACGTAGTTTTCATGATTGAAGTTTGACGGAGGAGTCAGTGAAACTCAAAGTTGCACCCACATCTCAGGCCTAAGGGTGCTAGCAAGGCGGGGGTGTGTAGAGTGTGAAGCTGACTTGCAGAACAGGTTGTTGTGGTTGTATGGGTGCTACTGCAAAAGCAAGGCCACGAGCCCCTAGTAGCTTCTTGTTACTACTAGTAAGGCACTTGTTACTAGTAGCGAGGCACTTGTTCCTAGTAGCGATGCCCTTTGCTCCTAGTAGCGTCCTCTTGCTCCTGTGCACCCACGAATCCGAATGCAAATTATGTGTGCTCGCAGCCATTCGAACACCTAGCGGAACCAGCCACGACACCAGCACGCACCTCACCACTGCACTGTATTCCACTGCCCTCAGTTGCGTTCCCAAGGACCCTAGAGGAAGTGAGCCCAGACGGAACCCACTGCCAACCTCACACAATCCTGCAATGTTTTGTGCAGCCGTCACACGTCCATAGACTCCCGTCTCCTCGCCCCAAAGGAACAAGGACTCGCACTCTCAAAGGTTGCCACAGTGGGTATGGAATATGTTTGCAATTCCAACATTTCCGAAAAGCACTAAATACTGTGTGCAAAAAGTGGCAATGACATCCCGTCGCATGTTTAAACTGCACTGCCGATTGGATTGATGTAGACAGTTTCCAACCTCATGTCAGTCAGCGAAATTACACCACCGTAGACCCCAAACAGGTTGTGTTTTTCAAAAATTGGAACACTCTGCAAATAAATAGAGCTTGCGACGTCCAGAGCTGGGAAATAAAGGATTGCAAGGCAGAGGCGGCCCCAGCAGTCCAGAGCTGGGAGACAAATGTAGACACAGGGAGACAAATGTAAAGGATTGCAAGCGACATGCAGCCCAGAGCTGGGTGACAAATGTAAAGGATTGCAGGGCAGAGCAGCTGGGAGACAAATGTGAAGGGTTGCAAGCGAGAGGGGGAGAGAGGAGGCACATGTATATAAAGGAAATAAGGAAGACCAGGCGGACACAATGACCAACAAGAAGGGGGACAACAAGGGAGACAAGAAGGGAGAAAAAAGGCAACAGAAGGGAGACAAGACGGACACAATGACCAACAAGAAGGGAGAC